TAACTAGGTTAGTAAGAATTCAAATTAATAAATGTATAAATGAATAGTTCTTTAGTAAATTTCCAACACATGGTACATTATTATCATCAAAAAATGATTATTCTGGTTTTGCTAGCATTGTTAAACGAAATCATATGAATTCTTCATATTTAGAAACATTTACAACAAAATGTTTTAATTTAATATTACGTTATATACTTGTTAATCATCAAATGCCGTATGTTTGATTGTTTTGTTTTTCTTTTCTTTTATTCAGAAATGTTATCTTTTTTATTAAACGAATTTATGCAACTACATGGCTTGAACATTTTTTTCAATCATGTCAACGTAAAAGTAATAATGGATCTTCAAAAGAAGAACATTCATCTAAAGATCACCATCGTTTATTTACTTATGAACAATTACCAAATTTTGGAAATGATGCATTGGTTAGATTTGTTGAAAGTTTATACGTACAGGATAAAAATAACATTTTTATTATTTCTTTAATCTTAGCTTTGGTTTTGGGCTATATGGGAATGTGCACAATTTTGTCTTATGAATAAATTGAAAATACCACTTGGAAAACCACAAGAAACATTTTTAGCACTCGAAGGTGAGTCAATCATTAATCTCGAACTAGTTCAAATGAATTATAATTAAATAAATATATGTATCATGATACATAACAGGTTTAAATGCAAGAACTATTCATTCAGATAGACTCTAGTGATCGAAATAGGATTAGAAGAATTAATAGGCTTTAAAATAGAAGTTTCACAGACGCTCAAAATTCAGTGGCCTATTCCATATCCTTTTCAAAAATATTCTTGCATATTTGCGCTAACAACAGAGTAACAGTCTTACTTACAGCTGTGCCCTGATCTAAACATGTACGTATAGATTAACGTTGAATGAACGGAGATGGTGTTCCGATTGGAGCATGAGATCACCAGAGTTTTGTCATGCATTCATTGTTATTCTCTGTAAATGTTTGGAGACTAGTATAGTACTCTACGTAAGATCGATGTATCGGCAATTACTGTCAGTGTTACCTCTAAAGGTTAGAGATATGAATAATTCGGAAATACATGCTAATTAATGATGAAACCAGTGATGATTAAATCCATTTGTTATTTTTTTTGATTTATATATATATATATATTGGTTATTGAAAAAAATTATTTATAAAACTTACTATGATTTTAGAAATGAAAATATCTTTTTTATTGAACCTTGAAATAAATATAAGTATAAATATTCGAAATGGCTTTGTTGTTTAGAAACTTTACGGTTTTTTGCTTGACTAATTGATAATAATACGAAAAAAGTAGAAGCATCTGCATCAGAGCAAACGAATCGTTCTTCAACACCATCAACAACTGTAAATCCTCTATTAACATCATCATCAGCAGCAGGAGAAATAAATGTTTCAACAGATAAAGGTGATTGGTGGTGTGATTTACATCGTTATGATCTTTTATTACAATTGATTGAAGCACTTGAAAAATGTATGTACAATGCATACGAAGGAGTGACTCTTTCACTTCCACAATTACCTAAAGTAAATTTGAATTTTTTTCTCTTTTTGATTTAAATCACTTTTTTTTAGACTGTTAAATTCTTTTTTATTACAAATAAATCTACATATTGTGAATGGCTTAATCGTATTCGTATACCAATTATGTTAACAGCAGTACGAA